AAAGGACGCCTGCGTTGGGTAGATCTGCTGCAACAAGCCCTCTTTAGAGTGTTTGAAAGCGAAGCTATTACTTTGAGGGCTAAGGTGCACCTGACCCAAGCCGTGGGATTGGGTCACCTCCCCTGCCGGTGAAAGCTGGCCACTGGATAGGGAAGACCGAAGAGGAACGGATGCCCTTGACCTACGGGGCTGTTGAGGGCGATGGGAGGTACCACGGGTCGCCAAAAGAACAAGTAGGCCTGTCTTGGAAGAATTTCAGCCAGGATGCTCCTTGGAGGCCAGGATGGGGAGATGCGTGTCTCACTTACTCTGTGGTCAGGAGACCAGTCCCTGGAGGACATCGTGCTTGGTAAAGTAGAGGCAGTAAAAAAGGGGAAGGCTCATCTACACGCGGGCTGCAACAATGGCTCAAACGTAAAAACACACTGGGCTGGCACGGGCCTGGATGGCGTTGCGTTTTGTTCATCTCCATGGCAACCGGCACCAGCACCAGATGCACGGCTGGCTTGGGCTCCGATGGACTTGTCTGCATCTTCTTCAGTTCGTCTGGGGCACTGTCAGCTCCCAGCCTTGTTCTGACTGGTGGCGATGGGCTTCTCCGTCCTCTCTTTCCACAGATGTACTCTCTTTGATTCCTGTGGATTCCACCTGGGCAGGTCCATGTGTATCGCTTTCCCTTTTGGTGTTAAAAGCAACAGCAGCAACAAGAAGGTATTTATAATAAATCTTCCTCTTTATTTATTTCCAGCTTTCTGATCTCCATCACCAGTCATTAGCAATGCATTGCGATCGTAGGTTGGAGCAAGATCAGACTGAGGAGGCTGACAACCGTCTTCAATTTCTTTATCTTTGGTCTTAGGGGTCGGTGCCTAGATTTGAATCATCCTGGCATTAACTGGTCCTCCTCAGAGGTTGCTGACTGTGCCCCCATCATCAACGATGTTCTTTTTGAGGACGAAATCCCCTAATTTATCGTCTCTGGCACAAGATTTTCCCAGTCAAAGTGACCAACCCAAGTCCGATGCCTCGGATATCCACCGGGATGTGTTCCGTTTCATTTTCAATGACTTCCAGTTTTCCTAGATCACACTTCACACACTCGGATTGTTCACGGGTGTTTGCCACTGTGTCTTCTCCTTTTGCGTCACCCCACGTGTGCGCCTGGCGGCGGCCAAAGCCTTGCTCCACTCACGTCATTAGTCAGCCCTTCGGTGAGCGGGATGCTCGTCCCAGCTTTGATGACCTTCCTGTGGTCGTTCCATCACCTGGTGTCAATGTGTGACTTGAGAGGATTAAAAGGGAAGGGGTGGAGTCTAGTCTGTCAATCCAGTCATAGCCAATGAGGCCTCTGGGTGGGCGTGGCCTGTAGATGAGAGACATTTTCTCTCTCTCTGCTCACTCCCTTGGAGACGCTCTACCGACAGGACACATGGCACTACGCTGATAGACCCCGTGCCCTGGGAACTGGAGAAGCCATGTGGAGACCCCTGCCAGCGCTGAGATGCTTACAAAATGACTGGATCCAAAGACTTTCTACCCATTGGCCTGCGATGGGCTTGCATTTGGCATCCTTGCATGTGTTTTGCAAGTCTGAAGACCACTTTATAGACTGGTGTTGGACTATGGGCTAATATCAGACTTAGGGACTTGATCTGGACGGGGCTGGGATGTTTCCTTCATAGTCCACTGCTCTTGTCTATAAACCTCTTTCTTGTACACAGATGTGTGTCCACGAATCTGTCTCTCTAGTCTACCCGGACTAACACACTTCCCATGTGAAGGGCTCATCTCCCAGAACTACGCCAGACGGATGTTCTTGCTCTGAACTTGGTGCTCGTTCCTGGGCCATGTGGTGACCATGGGCAGCTCTTTGGCAGACTGCCCCAGGGGGGCTCCACCTGGGAGCCCCTTCTTTGAACTTTAAGCCTCCGTCTCCTCCTTCATCCTCCCTGTCCCCCACAACCCTGGCTCCTCCTTCAGGTTTCCTCTGAAGCCCCGCTCCCGGGGAGTCTTCCTGTTGCTGTAGGAGTCCTTGTTGGAGTTAGGGGCCACCGAGTCAGTTCTCACTCCGCGTAACTCTATGAAGCAAACCCTGCCAGGCCCTGCCCCCTCCTCACACTGGTTCTTATGTTTGAGCCCATCCGTGCAGGCCCTGTGTCGGTCCACCTTGCCCCGCCCCCACATTAGTTGCCAAGCACAGCAGCCCTACAGGCTAGGGACAGAGCAGGCCTCTGACTTCAGAGCCCTGGCCGCGTGTCTCATTTACCTTGCAGCCTCCAGAAGGACATCATCCCCTGGTCACCAACAAAGCCAGCCTGGGACTCAAGCCCCCTCCCCCACCTGGCCACAGAGGGACAGGACCTTGCCCCCAACAGGAGTGCGGGCAAAGTCCAAAAGCGGCTCCCCTGCCCAGCCCCCTGCTGCCAGCTCTCCTTGCCCCCCGGGGAGCTTGGCCTGCTCCAATCCACCCTGCCCTTCTGGGGCCTAAGCCCCCCGACTTTCCCTCACAACCCCTTGGGGGCCTGGGGCAAGAGAGAGGAGCTGGATGAGGTCTTGGGGTCAGAAAGAGGTGCCTGGGGGATTCGGCAATGTTGGAAGGCCCCAGGGGGGGGCGTTGAAAGGGCCCACCGGAGCGAGGGTCCCCCAGAGAAGGGGAGAAGGATTGGAATAAGTCAAGAGGAGGAGGCGGTGCCCAACGGGAGAGAGTCCCGGCCGTCCCTGTACCTTCGGGGTTCATGAGGCCTCAGGGTTGTGTGAGCTGTCCTGTCCTCCGCTCAGATGGAGGCTGGGGGTGGGACTCGCCTCTTCCAGGGCCCCTGGACACACGCCCCAGAGCCAGGGGAGGGCTCTCTGCTCCACACCAAGAAGTCCCACCCCCAGAGCACTAGCCAGTGAGAGAGCCTGATGTCCTGACCTCAGTCCCACAAACAGCTCCGCCCTCCTGGGTCCTGGTGTGGGTCCGGAAAAGTCCCTCCCGGGGGAGAATTTGTAGAACCTTCCTGATGGAGTACCGGGAACCTCATGGTCCTTCGATCCTCCTTTCACAGTCTAAGCTCTGTTTCTGAGCCTCAGCTTCCAAAGGCACCGAGCCTACCGACCCTCTGGGCTGGACTGAGGATCACGTGAAAAGACTCTACCAGTGACGCACAGTGGAAGTTTGCCGTTTGGCTGAGGGGACACGAGCATCCCTCTGAGCCGTCCTGGAACCCGTCCCCCGGAGTGAGTGAACCCACGGGCTAGGAGGAACCGACACAAAGTCCGTGGGAAGTGCATGTCATGAAAAAAGTATGCATGGGTTGCAAAAACCGCTTGCACCAAAACAAACGGGTACGAGCCAGTTGAAAAGGAGCCTGGGCATCAGAGTGGCTACACGTTGGGCTGTTCACTGCAAGGTCAGCAGTTCGAAACCACCAGCCGCTCCGAGGGAGAAAGACGAGGCTTTCTACTCCAGTAAAGAGTTATCGTCTCAGAAACTCCAGGGGCAGTTCTACTCTGTCCTACAAGGTCGTATGAATCAGAATCGAGTGCGTAAAAGTATATTTGTTTGTTTGTTTTTAAATCATTTTATTGGGGGCTCGGACAACTCTGATCACAATCCATGCTGGTTTGTTCTGAACCACGTCTAGGAGCCCTGGTAGCCTTGGTTCCACATTGGGCTGGTAACGCCAAGGTCAGTGCTTTGAACCCACCCGCCCCTCCTCAGGAGAACCATGAGGCTTTCTACTCCACTCGAGTTACCATTTAGGAAACCCACAGGGCCACGCTACCCTGTCCGACCGCAGCAGCATCAGTTCCACGGCTGTGAGTTTGTTTAGTGAAGCAAGGCCAAATGCATTCAGTTCTCAAGAGGCCCGTGGTTACGAGGCGTTGAGGGGAGGGAGGCACGGAAGGTCATCATTTGCTTCCTGGACTCTGGATTTCTGCTCAGGGGACAAAAAATGTTTAGAGGTGGACGGTGGTGGATTGCCCACCTTTGTGAACGCAGTGACTGTCGCTGAATCGCACACGTATCATGATGAGGGCAGACAGCTTGGTGTTCGAGAGAGTTTATCGCCAAACACCTCTCTATTTTCTTGAGCTATCAACCAGAGACAAACCCAGCCTCACTGCCATCGGGTCGATGCTGACTCCTGAGCTGTTCCTCTAAGGTCATTTGGGGTCTCTCTGTTGCAGCGTGAGCCCTGGTGGGACGCTGGTAGTGAGTGCCGCTGTGGTCCCCAAGGTGGGCAGTTCAAAACCACCGCACGCGAGAGAGGAAGCTTTCTACTCTGCTAAGCAGTTGTAATCTCGGAAACTCACAGGAGCAGTTCTGTAGCATCTACCCAGCCCTATCAGGTCTTTCCGAGTCAGCACCAGCCCATAGTAATGGGTTTGATTCTGGTTTGTTACGGCCCTTAGCCTGCCCTGACTGTCTCTCTCCTACTTAACACGGTGGGTGATCCCACCCATTCATCAACCCATCTATGCTACGACTTAAATTGTTTTCTCTCATCAGGTAACTCCCCAGCTCCAACTGCCCTCTCAAGGCCCTGGCCTCTGTTCCTGACCACTTCCAAACATCCCTCCCGGCTGCTTTCCAAAGAAACTCATTCTGTTCCCCCCAAGCCTGCTCATCCTCCAGTCTCCCAAGATAGAAACCTTGCTGTCTAACCTCAATTCTTCCCCCATCGCTGCAAGAGGCGATGAGTTCTAAACATCCTATTCTAGCTTAAAACACACACACACACACACACACACACACTTTACAATAACGTAAGAAAAAATTTCCTTCTCTACATCAACAGATTTTAAACCTGGACTTTTCTCTTGCTTTTCCCCACCCCATGGTCATCCAGTCAATTCTGATTCAGAACAGCCTTACAGGACCATAAGAACTAACTGAGAGTCGTTGTGGAAGCCGACAGCCTCATCTTTCTCGGGAGGAGCAGCTGGTGGGTTTGAGCCATGGGCCTTTCAGTTAGCAGGCCAATAGTTCATCCACTGCACCGCCAGGGGATGCTCTCTTGCCTGTAAAAATGATGTGGCATCAGACCTCTTTCACTTCTCCCTATGGGCCAGGATGCGCTGCCTCTGCGGGGTTCTAAGACTGTAACTCTTTCCAGGAACAGAAAGCCCCCTCTTTCTCAACAGTCCAGGATTGACTCTTATGAGGCCGGGGTCAGAGAGGCCTCCAGCCCTCCCACCTTTGTATCCATTCTGACACTGGCCATCCCTGGCCATTGGACTTGCTCCTCCTCTGCTGGGCTCAAGAATTCATGACAAGGACCATGCAGACAGACGTCAGACAGTACTCACGACAGTGGGGTTGATTAGGGAATTCGCTCACTCACTCCCTCAAGTAGATTCCGACTTCTTGTGACCCTCTGGGGCAGGCCCCTTTGAGTTTCCACGGCTGTAAATCTTCATGGAAGCAGAAAGCCTCATCTTACTGCTGAAGAGCAGCCAGTTGGCTTGAACCATCGACCTTGTGTTTAGCAGCCCAACGCAGAGCCTCCTATGCCAGCAGGGCTCCTTCTGAGAGAAGTAGCAGGTTACCATTAGGGCTCAGAAACGACTCAGGACGTCGTGTTTCTCTCGGGGCAGCCTCTCTTCAGCCATGCCTCTGTCTTCTCAGTCCCTCAGGCCCCTGGCGCTGGCCCAGCCTTTGCCTGGCTCAGACAAGTATTACAAACTCTTCAGCTCTGCCGATACACGCAGAGGGCCTTCGGTGACCAACAGAACGTGCAGACTGGGGGTGTGGGAGTGTGGGAGGAGCCACGAGATGCTGTCCATCTTCCACGAGCATCTCCACACCCACAGCCGTCTTCCCAATAGTGTTAACTCTGTGTGTGGACAGACTCGCGCGTGTGTCTTTTAGGCTATTCCTGAGCGTGGGGGTGGGCAGGGAAGAGGCAGAGGGGTAGGATCACTTTTGTAACATTTGGGGCCTGAGTGGGGACATGGTGAAACAATAGGAAGAACAAAGACCTATTGATTTGGTTCTATACCCAGAATAGCTAGCCTTTAAAAAACACCATAAATGAGACCTGTGCTAGTCTGGGTACTTTAGAGAAACAAATCCACAGAAACACAAGTATTAGAGAGAGTTTTATATCAAGGGTAAGCGCACATCAAGAAAACATCCCAACCCAGTGCTGCCCAAGCCCACAAGTCCAACATTAACCCTTATGTCCAACACCAATCCACAAAGTCCTCTTCCATCTCACAAAACAGAGGCAATGATGCCAACTGCAGGAGGAAAGCTGAGTCAGTGAACGTGTAAGCATCTCAGCACTAGCAGGGATCTCCACATGGCTGCTCCAGCACCCAGGGCTGCATCGGGGTAGGTCCATGTGGCTTCTCCTCAGGGATGTCTTGCAGGAAGTGAGTCTTGCCAACTGAACCAGGGAACTGGCTAAGGCAGCTGCACCCTGGTGTGACCATCAGAGAGCAAGAGACCCGAGAACTAGAAAGGCGAGGCTCACTGAGCCATGTATCCCTCCGCCCTTCAATTAACCCCACCTATGTTTATCGGCCAGGTTGGCACAATAAACTAACTACCTGAAGGCCCGAAACTGTTGAAAGTACTGGGACCTAGAAACCAAGGTGTTCCCGCCCCGGGCCTCATGCCCACCCCCCTACAAAGGAACTGAACAAGGAGGTTCCCCAAGCTGCCATCTTGAAATGGAAACTGGCCAAGGAGGGAAAGTGGACACAGCAGATTGTCCGCCTTGGAGGGGTCCGTTCTTGGATGGACATGCTGGTACTTGTGACTTACTGGGACAGAAGGGTCTTCGGTCCATTTTAAGGATGAACCCCTCGGAGGCCGAACCATCTGCTTGTGTCGGCTTTGAACTCTGACGCCCTTGGTGTCGGAGTTCAATCAGGAGCAGCACAAAGGTCACTGAATCCATCCAAGAAAGCTTTTGAAAGCCCGAGGAGTAGATGGTCACACTGGGGCAGTGGTTCACTTTAAATTAATAACCAAAAAAGTTCTTTTAATCCTAGGAATTATCTGATACCCAAAATACTTTGTCTTGAATCGTGAGGTGCCTTGGGTTTGGACAGCCTCTACACTGCATCGAGAACTGCATTATAAACTTTCAGGCATGTGTTAGGTTTCTGTGAAAACTTTTTTTTTTGAGCTTCATACATCTTAATAGAGCTTACATTCCAATGATTATCAGACAATATTCTACAAGATACAAATTACTATGGGAGGCAGAGGGTTGCATGAACAAATCTCAAATATCCTTAAGCTATCGTTCCAAATGTTGAAAATGTGCCCATCTTTCAGACGTTCCCATGCAGGTAAGTGCTGGGGCAGGTCTTTCTTACAGGGTTGGGTCCTGTAAGAGGCTGGTGGGAGACACTTATTGCTTTTGTAGGCTGAGCCACAGACCCCTTGGCATCCGCTGGATCAGCCAGGGACGCACATCTGTGAAAACTTTCAATGTAGACTTCATACTACCCTGTCAGTTTTTGTCTTAATAAAACAATAGATTTCCAACAAAACAAAACACAGACTGGTGTTTTAGCATGCATTTATTAAAAAAAAAATCCATTGTTTGTTCACTCATTAATTCACTTGTTCTTCCATTTCATAAAGACCTGCTAGATGCTCCTGTGTGCTGGGCTGGACGCTGGATTCTGGCACCAGGAGCATGAACATGAACTTGGAGGGAGTCACGCCCTAGTGAGGGAGGGAGAGCTTCCCATGGGTACAGGCCCCTTCCTGGTGCTGCCCCATGAGGCCCTGCAGGCGTGGGGTGAGACACCACGCTGCAGGAGGTGTGGGCAGCGGGCGTGATTCACCGTTGAGCTGACTCTTGATGGTT